AACGAACTGCGTTTGTGACTGGCTGTGTAAGCACTGTTTCCAGCAACGCTTGCTGCTCCACACCACATTAGTCTGGTTTCCATCAACTTAGTGTTCAATGGCAGAAACTGCCGCCACTGTGGGTGAACACGTCTGCTGCGACCTTTCCCACAGCACTCAGATCACCAAAGTTGGCTCCTAGTTCCAGGACTAGCTCTAGGAGGGACCTAATGCAACTGTTAGACACTGGTTGAAGCCCATGAAGCCCTGGCTGAGATCCGAGGCTCTTCGCAGTGTGCCACACAGCTGCTTGCCACAGGTTGCCCGTAACACCCATGGCAGGTGGCTGTGATCCACTGATACCCACTGCTGTGGTATCCTGATGGATGCTGGATGGGACAAAGCTCATGGATACTAGAAAGGGAGGAAGGTAATTTAGTTCACGTCATGTATGTGTGGGTGCCAGCCCTGTCTGCTCTGCCACTGGGATCCAGATTCCTCTGGCAGATAACGGCAGAGCAGATCCAAGTGGATGTCGGTGCCACCTACTCATTGTTTTTTCTTCTGATTTTCTTTTTAAATGAAGGAATGACAGACACTGTATTCAAGGAGCTGGGGCTTTAGATGCAGGCTGTAACACAAAAGTTACGTGTTCTGCAAGCAAAGCAAAACCACATCAATCCTCATCCTGCAAGCTTCAGTGTTGAACTCTCGCTCAACAACAGGCTTGCGGAAATATTGGCTAATGCATGCAAAGAAATAAAGCAGTGACCCTTAACAGGGCCAGGGTACCTGAAACACCCCACTCCCACTCAAAGCCTTTTAACAAGACTGCAGGTAACTGCCTGAATCATTGACTATATGGACAGTGCTGTTTTCTCAGACTGGCTGCCTGCCCTGGGAGTCTACAGCGAGTTTCACTTTTTCCTTTTTGCAAGATCTCATCAAATTGTGATGACATGAAAACCGGTCCATGTGTTTGGGAGAGCTAGCGTTGCTCTTTTGTAACAGTCCTTTCCACCACTGTCAAATGAAAGTCAGTGATTTGTCCTTGATCAGAAGCTGTGTCCCCATCACTGCGCCCTTATTTGTCCCTGGTGTGTCAGAGCGCCATATTCTGCGTGCATTTGTGTGACTATCGATTTTCCCTTCCCCCATATAATGCATGAACAGCTCAGTTGATTTCATGTTTAACAGAACATCAAAGGCCTCAAGATCCTAATAAAATCAGGCAAAGGGGAGACCCAGGAGGAGAAGAGTCCACTGCAATGCCTCCTCTGGAGAGAAGCACACAGTATGATTCGCTCTTCATTAATCATCAGAGCAGCCAGAGAAAAGCAGCCCCAAGACACAGATCCATAGGAAACCCCCTGCTCCTGGAATGGCTTGCTCAGTATAATTGCTCCTCTGTAAATTAAACAAGAGCCGTTCACAAGACTTCCGTATTTTAAAGTCACTAGAATGCACACAGGGAGAGTCCTTGCAGGACCCAGACACTGCTGCCTTCCCTCTTCCCACGAACGGTGCCCACCGCCACGAGGGAGATGTCTGCACGATCTGAGACCCACTGAATCAGAAGGGTCTTTCTACAATGAGGTGAAGCTCTGCCAAGGGGGAAGGACCACAGCTGCCCCTCCCCTAGGCTGCTGGGTGTCCAAATTCCACCCCCAGTATGGGAAAGATTGGATGCAAACATCAGTGGGCTGTTGTGCAATTGTGTTTGGAGGGAAGTGGATTGTCTAAGGGGCATGGCACAAGGCAGATCAGCCCTGAAAGTACACACTGAACCCAAGCAGAAGGGGTCTAACCTGGCTACTAATCAGTCTTATACACTGGCTGTTCACCATTACGGCCATTGGGGAAGATGTAGAGACCCGGCTTTCTGGGACTTCAGGATGAGAAACTTGAGTTCCAGTGCTTCTAAGATTAGGCAGCAGCTGAGCATCTACTTCTACGATTAAACATTAAGCACTGGCAGGTAAAAGTAATAGAAATTCCACATGAAGTGTGAAGTTCTTCTCTGGATTTGTTTTACCGTCTTTGCTTCTTTTTTTCTGGTTATTGCTCCTATCAAAAAGAGAAACACTAATTGCTATTTCCAGATGGTGTGTGGTCTGAGGCAGGATCATAGAGGGTGCACGGTCCATGCAATGCCTCTCATTTTGCAGGAGCACTGGCCTCCAAAGGGAGCTCCTCTACACAGGGCTAGGTGTACCTGCCTAATTACAGATTAATTAGCGAGCTACAGCAGGGCCCATGTCTGCCCCATTCCACCTCTAATTGGTCAGGAGAGAGACTGCTCCTTTCTGCTGCTTCCCAGAGCTGTCAGTCACTGAGAGTCCCTCCTTAGCCCACTTCCCCAGCCAGTATAAAAAGGCAGAGTGGGGATGATGGAGCATGGTGTGGTGTTTGGTTCTTCCTTGCTGATCATCTGCTCGCCTCCCACAGGGCAAAAAGGTACAGTTCTCAACTTTTCAGGGGAGATTTTCAGGTGTTAAGGCTGTAGTTGTTCTATGAACTCCTGATTCATGTTTAGATGTATCTTACCTGGCTTAACGATGGGATGGAATTAGTTTGAGTTAACACAAAGTTACTTGTGGTCGTGCCTGAAAGATTAACTATGGCCTAAGCTGGTTTTGAGTAAAAATCTGGTTCTGGTTGGTGGGTGCTTACAGCAGCAGGGCAGCTTCTTGAGCTGCCTTCCCCCCCCTCCCCTTGTTCTTCTGTTAATATCTCTAATGCAAGATTTCCTGGAAGCCTTGGTGGGGAGGAAGGAGGTACCCAGTGCCTCCTCTAAATACACTTATAATAAACACTATGATCTCTCCTGCAAGAGCTCTCCTGGGTAAGGAAAGACTTCGTTCTCCTCATTCCGCTGATTATCATAAACCACGTGAACCTTAAATACTAAGTAGCTTTGCAAGTAGCACAGATCCCCTCCTTCTGTAGTGGGAGGAGGCCCATGTTGAGTGTCTTCCTTTAATGGGTACTAAAGGAACTCCCTTTTAATAAGGTCAGAGGGGAGTGTTCCCTGGAAGGGGAACCCCTCTGGAAGCTCACCAGCTGCTTAGTCTTTTCCTTTTCCTAAAACCATGGTGCTGATTGCATTTCAGCTGCGATGGCCTCTGCTGTGCCTGACAAAGAGCAAGCTGCCAAGAGCTCCCTGGAGGTGAAGGAGGAGGAGCAGCAGGTAGGTGCTCCACATGAGATGTAAGGAGTGGCAGCTCCGGGGTGCAGGTGTGAAGAGGTGGCCCTGCTGTGACTGGGGGAGCTGAGCCTATGCACAAAGGGAGGAGTGTTTCCTCTGCTTGGGCTGTGCCTTCCAGCATTTCTGGACAGCACAGCCAAAACAGTAGGCCTGAAGACCCTGTAAGTAACCTCCTAGGCTAAGCAAAATAGCCTGGTTCATGGCTAGGAAAGATATTTCCCTAACTCAGTAGTCAAGATTCTGGCTTGCTGCAGGCAATGCTTCTGTGGAAAGCCTCCCATGTTTCAGCAGCCCTGTAAAACTGCTGCATTTGCTTTACTTCTACGACCAGCAGCATACTTCTTGCAGACTAGTGTAAAGTCTGTCAACTTAAAACCAATCTGATCCTGTTTGATGAAGCTTTTCCTATGGTGTTAGCTTGTTAAATAGCTATGCAAACTGAATTAGAGCTGGGTATGGGTACAGAAGTATTGAGATTGCTATCCAAGGGACGGCTGAATTTGTGGGCATTGTGCTAGGGGAAGACCTTTCTAGAATGGATCAACCATAAATGTCAATACTCCACAGCTTGTTTCACAACTGGGTTGTATATTTTTAAAGCAAGTGTCCGAGCAAGGCAAGCCTTGCTTCCTCAACCAGACCAGGTGACTTGAACAAAAATTTTTGAGGCAAAACTGTAGAGGAAGCTCAGCAGCATGTTTGCAAGCTTCATGGCTTTTTTTTTGACTCTTCTAGGATGCAGTAAATCAGGTGGCTAACCTGACCTTGGTCAGCTCTGCCTGTGACATGGTTTCTACAGCTTATGCCTCTACTAAGGAGAGCCACCCCTACATCAGATCTGTGTGCGATACAGCAGAGAAAGGAGTGAAGAGTGTGACTGAAGCCACAGCCAGCTGTGTGCAGCCTGTTCTGACTACACTGGAGCCTCATGGTAATCCCCTGTGGAAGGGCAGGTTTGAACCTGCCTGTGAGGCACTCTGGCTCCTCCCAGCTCTGGAAGGAGTCTTAGGATGTGGAAACACACCTCTCCATCACTATACTAAAAGGATAACTCCTGGCTTACAAGTAGCACTAAAAAGCTGAGTCCTAGTCCAAGTAGTGTGATGGAGGGTTGCTCCCTGGAGGACCAGGACATGACTCCAATGTTGACTTCCTAAAACTGATCTTGCAAGGTCCACAGTACCAGGTGGCAGCTGCTTATAGTCAGGTTCTTAGAAGCTCATGGTGGCTACAGGAAAAAAGCCTCTTCTTGGAGGACTGTTATAGCTCAAAGTCCTGTTTTCCATGGCCCTTAAAGAACATGATTGTGGCATCTGAGAAGCAGCTCTAAACTCCTGGGGAGACACAGGGGCTATTCCTAATGACAAATGTGACAGGCCCGAGTTCACTGTAAGCCCAGAGTGGGCATCCCCCTTCTGTCAGTTACTATGTGATCCTGGATCCTTAGGATGTGGAGGCTGGGGCAGAGATGAGGGTTACTTAGTCAGGAGCTCAAGAAGCTGCAGGAGGGGATTGCATGTAGGCGGCTGCGTCTCTACAAGTGGAAATTGGCTGCTGTCACGGTGAACAGATTGATGAGGAGACCAAGACAAGCTGCTCTACAAATTCACCTTGCAATATACCTGGCATGGTGATCTGAATGGAGTCTTTCATCTAGGCTCCCTGCAGAGCAACGTGCTCAGGAAGGTAGAAGTTGACATGGAATTGAAGAAAAACTAGTTTTCACACTTGTGTTTTTTTTTTTTTCAGTTGCTGCAGCAAGCGAGTATGCCTATGAGGGTTTGGATAAACTAGGGGAAAAGCTCCCACTCCTTCAAAAGCCAGTGGAACAGGTAAGAATCAAAGGCTGTGTGGTCTCTGGCTGGCAGGGGGGCCTGGTCCTTGCAGGATTTGTAACCTTGGGAGTGAAGTGGGGCCTTGTATGAGGAACAAATTGCCTCTAGGTGCATAGTGCAAACTCCTACCAGAGTATTTAGCAGACACTGTGCTAATTGTCCTCTTAGGGCAATTCAGAGTAGTCATGTACTATGTGACCCAATCCATTATATGATGTAATTCTACTCTTCCACAGATTATTTCTGACACAAAAGAGCTGGTATCATCTAGAGTGGCTGAAGCAAAGGATGCTGTGAGGAGCAAAGTGACGGAGGTGATAGATGTAACTAAGGAGACTCTTCAGAGTGGCATGGAGGTTGCCAGATCTGCAGTGACCAGCAGTGTGGGGATTGTTGTGGACTCCAGAGTGGGCAAGACAGCTGTAAGTGGACCAGAAGCTGTGCTAGGGAGAGCAGAAGACAACATTCTCCCTATTGGAAATGAGGAACTGGGTAAGGAAACTGTATATGTGACTATTTGTAGTGGGAACCATCAAACTGGGGATGGTCAGACCCATTCCTCATCCCACTACTCTGGAATGGGGCTAATGAGAAATGCTGGAGGCTACCTGGCTCCTGATACTTGTTTACTCTGTGTGGTAAGCATCTCTGGTCAGCCCCTTATGGATACTGTCTCTTTCCTTAGCCAAGCTGGCAGCATCTGAGGAGGGTGCAGACCTAACGTCTGTGGAGCAGCAGCGAGAGAAGAGGAGGTACTTTGTGCGGTTGGGGTCTCTCTCTGATGAACTTCGCCTGTTTGCCTATCTGCACTCAACAGACAAGATGAAGCAGGTCTGGCAGGGCATGCAAGAGGCCCTTGTACAGCTTCACTGCATCATTGAACTGGTAGGTAGATCCCAGTCTCCTGGAAGCAGGTGACCAAACTGTTAGCTTGGTTTCAACTTTGTTGCTGTGCTGTTCACCAGCAGATCTGTCTTGAAACTCTGCTCTTTCCATGTCACAGATGGAAGTGTTTAAGCAAGGATTTAATCAAAAGCTTCAGGAAGGGCAGAAGAAACTACATGAGATTTGGCTGGATTGGAGTAGGAAGTCTTCCAAAGAGAGTGGAGATGAAAGCTCTGCAGAACCAGAGGTACCTCCCTGGGGAGGGAAGCAAAAGGCCCTGGGCAGCTCCTTGACTTTCAAATTTAAGTAACTTGGCTCTCTGATCTTGTCCTTCCTGCTTCCTCCCAGGAGATGGAGTCTCTGGCCCTGCTCATGGCGCGCAGTATCACACAGCAGCTGCGAATAACCTGCTGTAAAATAGTGTCTGCAATCCAAGGCCTTCCCTCAAGCCTTCAGGATAAGGTGAAACAATCTCTTAGTACTATAGAGGAGCTTCATGCTTCTTTCTCAGCAGCAGACTCCCTCCAGGACTTGTCCAGCAGTGTCTTGAGCCAGAGCCAGAGGAAGCTGGCTGTGATCCAGGAGTACATGGAGGAGCTGCTGGACTACCTGAAGAACAACACACCTCTGTCCTGGCTGGTGGGACCCTTCTTCCCCAGGAAGGAGGAGGAAACATCACAGGAGGATGAAACTCTGCAGGAGAAGGAGACAGAGACAGCAGGAGCAGGGTATCATGAAGCCTCCACCACCCTTATATAGAGGATAAGGCCAGGAGCACAGGCCTGCCTGGCAGGACTCTGGTGAGAGCTTGGTCTTAGCTTTACATAACCCTACTCACCAGCTGAGGGTGGAGCTGCTGCATCTTGGATGATTATTTGGTACTGATGAATAAATCCTTAGGAGCTTCTAAGGAAGGTGGTGGAAGTAGTAGGGCCACGCTTAAGTGGTCGTAGGTGCCTTCAGGAATGCTGGCTGAGCTCTAGGCCAGGAGAACGGAGCTGAAGCTCTGCAATGCTCTCACCTCCCTAGCAAGCTGCCTACAGTATGTCCTTCATCAGTGTATCCAGGGACTGCCTATGCAAGGATTGCTCTTGGTCTTAAACCCTCAGCTAATATACAGCGTAAAGAATTGTCTTCCTAAAAGCTGCTTGTACTAGGTCATAACTGCTTAAAATAAAACTACTGCATGCAAAAACACTTACTGTCTCTAGTCTCTCTTGGAGAAAGACTGGAAAAGTGAGCGTTGCTCAAGAGATGTGAACTGTACTCTTCCAACCTGATCTCTGATGTTGGGACAGTGCAGTTAAGAAGGCAAGAACTGGTGAGCAGTCAGTGATACAGTCAGGATTACAGCTGGTAAGACCTGCCGCTGTCCTGGGAAGTATGAAGTTGTAATTCCTTCTCACCTCCAGGCCTGGAGGTATGTATGTGCCCTCCTAGCACTTTCCCATGCTTGGAGAAGCTGTGGGATGCTGCCGGGATCCTGGCATCCCTTGTCCTTAGTCCTCCTAGGTCTAATTCTCCTTCTGTAGTTGCCTGTTGCTACCTGGTGAAGACTTCACAGTCTGTGATGGAAGTGTCTGCTGGGGAGAAGTGGACTCATCGAAGAGAGTCATTAGGATGTAGGTGGCAGACACTGTCAGCACTGACCTCTCCTGGCCAGATGTTTTGGTTGAGCTAAGAGCGCTACAGCTGCCATGTCTGACTCTTCTGAGGAGGTTGGACAGCCCAATGCTTTCAGACTTGCCAGACAATGATGTAGCTAAGGCTGATGGACCACTGAACTTGATGAGCAGAGCTTTTTAATTAGAAGTTCAGTCATTGCTTCTCATCCTCCTGTCTTCAAAGAGAGAAGTGGAATCTGCTCCCAATGTGACTACTGCTGCTTCTACACAATTTTTTTAAAGGTGGTTAAAGGTCTTGTTTCATGGAGGTCAGAAATTAGGACTGGGGAGAGCAAATACACCCTTAAAGAGGTGGAACATCCTTTTCTTTTAAATAGAAGTAAGTACTGTTCCAACAATACTCCTCATCCTACATTACTGTGTGTGGTGGCTTTGTGCTCTACTGTGGTAGGACAGTACCTTGGGTTTTGGCATTAGTTATTCCATTGATGTTACATCACCCCCTGATATAAGATTCAGGTCTAACTTCACTGAGCTCAGCATGTCAGAGAGGCTATTGTCTGACCTGTGTTCCTCATGTAGCAACTACTTTGTTGAAGACAAAACGTTAAGGCAATTTAAGTTGCCAGGCCTAGCTATTGTTGAGATCTGAGAGATAAATTGCAGGGGTCATCTCTCCACTACATGCTCCCTGATTACTGCTGAGCAATTTCTGTCTGGAAAAGAGCTCAGAGAGGCAAAACCAGTCTGCCTGATGTAATTACAGTTGAACTTGTAGGGTGGGAAGTAGGGCATTAACTGCAAGCAGCATTGGAGCTAGTCCTGCTGCTTGGTGGGAAATATACTATATGTTGTCTTCTCAAAAGCAAAGCTGCACCTTACTTCCTAGGAATGCCTGTGGGTTTTTTTTTTAAATTTCCCATGTTAAAAGTTCTTTTCAAGAAATAGTTAGACATTCCTGTGCTTGATATTGATTTGTCAATGCAGCATATCTGATCTATATTAATATAGTGCTTAGCCTAGCACATCATCCTGCTTATGGATCATTGGGACATTCTTTCTTGTTGATTAAGTCTATTTCCTGTAAACACCACTGGCTGCTCTTACCTTGGGAGTCTGGTGCACAACTTGTGGGCTCTTCTGTAGTTGCAGCTGAGAACTTAAATGTTGCATGAGACTGGGGCCTCCCTGGCTGCCTGTGCTGGAGCTGGTGCAGGACAGCCCAGCACCTGTAAGGCTTTTCTGGGTCTTCTGCTGCTACAGTCCTTGTCACCTAAAACAGGCTAAAATGGAGTTATCATGGCAGATCCTAAAGCTCTGCTTGAGAAGAGGAGGCTGAGTGGAAACCTCTGCCTGTGTTTTAACTCTTGTTTAACCTCCAAAGATTCAGGGAACCATGGAGATGTGCTGCACCAAGCAAGAAGGGCAAAATTCTCACCAAGACTAGCCACAGATAAGGAATAGTTTGACTTTCTTCTTATTTGCTCTTTCTCTTCTAGTCTTATCCATGCTGCAGAGACAACAAGGGGATAAAGGTGGAAAGAAACTGGGAAAGACGAATGGACTGGCTTTCTGCAATGTTTGAGATGGAAACTCATCTGAGCTCTGGGAAAGTATCTGGATTGTTTCGCCACTTTATCCAAGCTTGTGTGACTATCCACACTTCTTTTTTGAGTCACTTTGGATAGAAATAAGAAATGCATTGGTAACATGTCAGCCCTAGATAAACCCCTCAGCAGGGAAGACATGCTTTGAGGTGTCTCTTCTGGCTCTCAGTAGCCCTTGGGAATGATGTAGTGTTCCTTGATTCTGATAATTATAGCCCAAGTGATTATATCTTACCCTCCCCTACTGCTGTGCCTCCCAGCTTATGCTGTGGTCACATGTGATAGCATAGTTATAGGCTGATTTGAATTTTAAATGCAATCACAGGGGTACTTGCTCCTTGTTTCCCTCTTGGTAGATGCCACCATCTCCCTCTGCCAGTTTGCTTAACATTTTAATTATTTAATTCTCATGTTCATGTACTTCTGCATTTCTTTATTCAGTCCCTGCTGTTCATTGTTCAAATGCCTGACTTCTAGGTCAGCAAATGTGCTGGGATTGGGTGAAAGCTACCTTGGGCATCACTCCAAAAGCCTGTCTGTCATTTTTCACAAGTTGAGTTAGGAGGTATTAGCCAACATGTTACTATGACCTCTAATTGGCAAAGGTAACCGCTTAAGGAAGGTTTCCCAAGCAGCTTTGTCATGAAGGCAATAGATTGGGAAACTGAAGTTCTCAGCAAGTCCTGAAAGGCAAAAGCTCTCTAGTTGCAAGGAGCTTAATTTCCCTTCTTCCCTTCCATGTTTCTTGACACACTTCAACATTGTCATCTCTTCTGCACTATTGCCTGCTGTAAAATAACCATGTTTAAAAAAGTTTTGACCTCCCTGAAGGGCAGCTGCTTGAGTAGCTGGGGCCTTGTTCAGGCACGACCAATCTGGGACTTAAGGTCATGCAAAAATTGAAACCCTGTGCTTGGGGAACTTCAAGACCTTCAAAGCCTATTGGAATTAATTTGCAATGGAAACAGCATGAAGTTGCTGCCCTCAGTGCTGGAAGACGAAGGTGCTGTGACTGCCAGTGTGGAAGCAAAATCAGATTGTAGGGCCTACTCTGCTAGGTATTCCCTGTGCTGCCGTCTGATGTGGGCAGGCAGGAATTTTATTTTGCTGGTTAGTACTTGGCCCTTTACAGTGCTTTCCTACCGTAACCCTCCCCATCTCCTCCCTTTTCTACTGCACCTCCTTTCCTTGTATTAGAGGAGGAAACCTAGTGTCTTGGAACACGGGAGAGAAACCTGGAGGGACTTCCCTGTGCTCTGAGCTGGATTGTGCCAACATGAAATGGTCACGTGAGACCAGTGTGGGTTTAGGAACCCCTGAGAATACACATTTGTTTGCTGGAGAGGTACATAGGTGCTTTTAGTAGCATCATTTTGCAGTGACCTGTACTCCCCATGGAAGCACACTAGTGCTTTTCCAACTAAAAATCTTTGCTGGTGTGAGGATTCAACTCTTCCTTCTTCCAGAGGCTGCTGCCAGGGACTGCTCCTAGCAGGTCCTGGCAAGACTTTGAGCTGGACAGCTTTCCTTCCCTCTTTACCCTGTGGATGACAAGGGAGGGAAGGGGGTCAATAAATCTGCTTCAAATTGCCTTACAAACCAAGCGTGAACTTGTGACAATTCCAATATGGTCTTTGCATGGCTTGTTAAAACCCCTGGTGCTTCCAGGAGTGACAGGCGTCTGACCTGATCGATAGCTCAGCTGCCCTTTACTGCTGCAAACAAGGCAAAGTACCTTCTGTGAATACAGAGCACTGCCAGCAAATAATTACCCTTGTTGTGGTGCTTTCTGGACATTGGCGTCTGCCCCTGTGGTAATGAAAATCCATTTGTAGAAGCAGTTAGTTTGCAGTATTGACTTCCCGGTTTCCCTCTGATTCTCATATTTATTTAGATTCAGCAATGGCTAGGGATTCTCCAGCAGTGAATTTGGAAGGGAGGTGATCCGGATGATAATGAACAAGCTGAATGCTGACACGGGTGGATTTTATGCCATCCTCAGTACTGATACTTTCTTTTTGTCTCTTTGTGTTAAGCTTGCTTCATAAACTCTGATGGGAGCTTAGAGCAGGAGGCAGGCTGGCAGACAGGCGGACTCCTGCCCATTTCTCACCATGTGCTCACCCGACGTGTCCAGGAAGGCAAGGTGGCATGGGAGCTGTTGAAGGGGATTATCTGGGAAAGTTAAGCAAGGGCAAGAAATTGTGAGGAAGGGAAAGGCATTGAGGAGCTTGAGGCTAAGGAGAGGTGGAATGGGAAAATGTGGCAGAGCTGAAGGAGGAAACAGCAGGAGGGCTGGGGACAACTAGAGAGCAGGTGAGAGGCTAGATGGAAAAATGGTGGATTTGGATTAAAGGTGAGAATTCAATGATATGGGAGAGGAGGGTTAAACTGAGTATCTGGAAGACTGGAACATAAAAACAGGAGAAAAGCAGGGGAGTGCTGTACAGAGAGAGGTTCACTTGGGGCAGGACTTGGGCAAAATGGAGAAGACTGGAGGACGGGAGAGGAACAAGATGGCAGGGAG